TCCAATTACAAGGCGAACTCCCAACTCTTGAGCCACGATCGCCCAAAGGAACGATGGTTTGCACAGTTTTCTGTTCGTACACGATGTCTGATAAAATCTTCATCGTGAAGGCAGAAAAATGCATTTCCAGGGAAATTATTGTCAGAACTGTGAACATCTGTCATTGCTTTATTTATGTCGGGAACATTAACTTGGTTAGTTGTTCCCAGGAGTTTAAGATTACTCCTCGTGCAGCTAAAATTATTTTTCGTTCACAAATTGAAAGAAAACCCAACAAATCCAAATCAGTAATAATTATATAAAAAAAATAAAAACAGAGGTGCCCTCTCCTGCTGACTCGTGCTCGAGTTACTGCACTGACCAAACGGCCTCCAGAGCCCATCTCATCCTCATCAGACCGTGCAGTCGTTTGCAGTATATTTAGATTGGCTGAAAAGAGCAGCAGCAAATTTTTAGATGCCCACCTGAGGGGGAATACTCCAGCCTAAGTACCCCTGACAGGTCTACATGCCACGTCAGAAACCGTGCAGATCAAAATCAAAGCACAAAAAGTGAAGCTATTCAGTCTCATTACAAAGTTTTCCAAGTTTGATGCAACCGCGAAGGCCTCTTAAAGTAAAGACGTCGATAAAGTCAGATTACATTTGAGATAAGGAGATGGTCAACTCACAGATTACTGATTTTTAAAAAAGACCAGCGTGAGGGGGGAAAGTACTCCAACTTATTTTACAGATTTGATCAAATTAGAACACGTTTAATGAAGTTTCCATGGCTATCAATGATCAGACGAGAAGCTAACCATGTGCCATCTCCTCACAGTTCTCTCTTCAACTCTGGACCTGCTAGATCTCAGCGAACCCGGAGAGAGGAGAAACAGCAGGGACAGGAAGAGCGCCCTGTTGTCCCAGGGAGACAGCCAGAAGAACAGCTCACACAGGAAAAAGACGGATGAGACAGAGCTGATCCAGGTGGAAGTTGAACACACGGGACCAAGCATGCGGACCCCAGAGAGGGCATCACTGGACTCAGGTAGAGACGCTCCAACGTTCGGGTGATTTTCTATCAGTAAATCATACTTAGTATCAGGGATGCTCCAATAAAACTGAACCGCCCCGCGCTGCCAACGCTAGTGTGCAAACGTGGTCAATCCTCCACTCGAGCCCTCTGACACACCTGATAACTGGAACAACTCCCATCATCTCGTGTGGAAGTGACCTCACACGAGTGTCCACAGAAGCACTGAGTCGGTTTAATGTGATGAGAGGGATAAAAGAAGCAGCTCCTTTTGTGTTGAAAAGGTTAAAGTCTGTAATTGTGCAGAGTCGAACCTCTGTGCTGAATAATTCATGGGACTGATTATAACTGTGATGTCATTTAATAAAAGCACAACTTTGTGTCCTGATAGAATTGTGGACAGCTGATCGTCTCCTCGTTTTTTAATTTGTTTAGACGTCGACGGCATTAATCGTTTTGTTTTTTAGCTAATTATTTGACTCTCAGGAAGACGTGTTAAAAGGTTTCAAAGCTGGAAAAATAACTTTGAACATTAGTGTCACCATTTAATCACCAACACTGATTAATTTTGCTTTTTTTCTGAACACATGAGCGTTTCCCCAAATTAACAGAAACTGGAACATCTGTGTGTGTTTGAAATGACATTTCTTTGTTTTTCCATGTCTCACTTTAGTCGCTTACATTCGTTTGTTATTACTGTCACCAGTTACAATCGGCTCACTGGATAAATGGGAAGAATTGAATCCCAACCCTGAAAGAAACGCCAACAGAAAATGGAAGCTGGAGAGACGACGTTCTTCTAAAAATTCCTCTAACGAGTTTCTGTGGTAGGTCCTCACCTCTGTATTACTCTGACTGGATAATAATGACATCATCTTTCTCATATCTGTCCAGCATCGTTATTATTTACACTGGAAATCTGAATTCCCTGTCAGATGTCCTATAATCAGAGCTTACGCAGCTTTTTGTGCATTAAAATTTGTGTCACTTTCTAGAAAAAAGTCCTTCAGACTTGTTTTGATCCCACCTCTAAGAACTGTCTTAGGCTACGTTCACACTGCAGGTGAAAGCACATCAAATCCGACTTTTCTGACCCTGTGCGGCTCATATCCGATCACGGTGTGACAGCGTGAACGGCACATTGAGAGACCGGTGTCGGAGTGTTAAAGAGCAGCTTTGAAATTCTCATGAGTTGTTTGCAAAAGAAAAAACACCATCATATTGCGGCTTCGGCGCCAGCTGCAAGGCTGGAGCTGAACAACACACCCTGATATCGACTGTGTTGAGTCTGTTCTTCCCTGCAAGGCCACCTGGGTTGGCTGGAAGACTTTCCCATGTTGCTGTCTGTGTTTATTGTGCTATGGTGTGTTGATATCTGTGCATTCCTGTATTATCCTTCTGTGTTACACATTTCCATGTTTGTTTCCTCGCTACCTAGCCTGACCTGTCTCCCCAATGTGATGTTTGTGTATGTACGGTCGTCAAGGTCTGTCATCTCGGCTGTGGGCAACTGCAACTGACAAATAAAGGCCATCTCATCTCATCTCATCTCATCTCATCTCATCTCATCTCATCTCATCTCATCATCTCATCTCATCTCATATTTTCAAATCCGATCTGGGTCACTTTCGTATGTGGTCCTGAATCCGATACATATCTGATGTTTTAGAAAGCTGCTGTTTGATGGTCACGTCGCATTAAATCCGTCTTTTACGTCACTGACACAAGACAGACGCCAACTATCAGCGCCAGGAAGACATCGTGAACGCTTCCTGTTTGTTGGGAAGACAATGTTGGAGAAACGTGAACATTTTATTTGTAGTGCTCCTCTCTAAAACAGTGATACGGATAAACTGTAATCAGGATAATTATAGGCCATATGTAAATAACTTTACACTTATAATTATAACTTAGAGCTAAATTGGGAAACGTAAAGTCTTTACATTAAGGCCATCAGTCAAACATACTGTTGGTCTGGGTGTAAACAGAGCGCGTTGTGTGTGACGTCTGCACATGCGGACGCTCTGAGCGTCACACCAGAGACCGTTTGCTGTCACATTTTATTTGTAGTGTGAACGAGCAGACAAAACAATTGGATTTGATCAAAAATTCAGAATTGAGCATTAAGACCTGCAGAGTGAACATAGCCTTAGTGTCTGTATGTTCAGAGTTTTTAGGCCCACGACTTCGCTCACTCCCTTTGCTTCCTTCCTGTTAGACAGACCTGCTGAACATTTATTTAACTGAGGAAACATTACTGTAGTAGAAACAGGGGAGACCGAATGTTTGTCCACCTGTTGATTATATAGTGTTTTATCTGCTGTTGGCAGAGTTCAAAGGTGAATATTTACCCTGGTGATGTTTTATGCAAACATGTAATAAAATTACATTTATTTACTGCCGTTTTCTAATTACTCATCTTTAAAGCTCTATTGCCGACATGTTTAACACGCTGGCTTATCCCAGTCCTCTCTTTTCTTTAGGTCCATAGATTGTAAAACACAGACAGACTCGTCTAACAAGAATACGCTGGAAACAAACACCAAACTGGAACCAGAGTCTGCGCTGGCGTCACAAGTAAGTGCTCAGAGTGTGAGGCAGGAATCCTCATTGATGCACTGTGCGCACTCGAAGCCAACGTCTTTAACTAAGAAAGCTTCCCACATCTCCGACATTAGCGTTTCCCTCCCCCCCCCCACAGCACCTCCACCCTCCTTGAGAAAATCAAACTACATGAACAACTGCAGGAAAAGGCCGTGGAACCTCCCAGCAGTGATTGCCTGTCGTGTGCCTGCGTCTTTGTCTAAATCACACTTATAAACAAGTACAAGTGACCACATTAATGTCACACACTACTGTAGGCTTTGTGAAAGTCTGAGATCCTGATGTTTCCAAAAACTGAGGTCAGAGGTTCAGTTTCAGAAGCTGGAACCAGAAGACGAGCACCCCGCTGTAAATAAAATCTGCTTCTTGACATTCACGTAAAGATTTCGTGATGGGACAAATGGGATTCTGTAGGAAAGATTATTAAGAAGCATGAAGCTGTAAAATGTTATAGAAGAGACTTTTTCAGCATCACTCCATTTTCTAAACCACCGTTTATCACATTTTGAGACCATGGAGCAGACGCCAGGCAGACGCAGGGAACACCCTGGGAACATCAGGTTATCAGCGACCGGTTCATGCTCCATATTGCACCTACAGTCAGTTTAAAATCTCCAATAAAGCTAACAGGGTGGAAGTCAGAGTACCCGGAGATGACAGGGAGCTGGAGGAAACTGAGTTCTGCAGGGATTATTTTTAAAAAGCACAAATCATCTTCAAAAATGTCTGTTTCTGTGACTCTGATGAAGATCCGTCCAGATGTTGGGAGTAATCCTGGTCAGGGTTTACAAACTGTTTCACTGGATTGTTCTGATTGTTGCACCGTTACGTTTGAAGAACTGATGACTTTATTGACCAACTGCATGTTTGTGTTGTGTTACAATGACAGTTCAATAAGACACCCTACTCTGTGCTGTTTACCCATCATTGTGTCCTAACACCTACAATTCTTCCATTTCAGCTCAACAGGCAGTATATTAGTGGAAGACATGTAAGCCTCCCTATGCATCCTTTCATATCACACTGAAAGACTTACACATTTGTACCAGTGAAACAGCATCACACCTTCTCAGAGTATCTGGCTCTAAAGACCAAAAACCAGGTGACTGAGAGCAAAAAGTAAGACAAAGACCAAAGTCGGCCTCGGGATGGATTCCTCTGTGGTGCTGCTCGGTCCAAATGTCAAGCGCTTTCTGCCTTAGTTGGTGTCTCTGTGTAGGTCTGCATAAGGGTCTTGTTTTCAGACGCCATTATTAGATTAATAGCCTATGAATTATTCAGCAGCCTTACTCCAAACCCATTAGTGTTGAGCTCAGCGAGCTAGCTGAGCCTATATCACCTTTTCAGCTCGCTGATAAATAATAGATTTGGGATTAAAGATAGCTGTCCAAGACGGGGGAGCTATTGGCAAACAAACGCACCAAATTTGTTTTGCTCAGGAGTTACGTTGTAGCTCGCTGACAGAGATCCTGTAAGGAGTGGTTTTAGCTTCCCACGTAGCAGGTACAACACGCACACAGAAACAAATGCATGCAAAGACGAGGCGGGTCCTGCATGAGATACATGAACTAACACAAGTGTATAACTCAACCTTCAAAGGAAAAATCCACCCTCGTTATTCTGTGGAGTGAAACATCAAGGAGGAGAAAGAGTCGTCATTTATTTTACATGTTTAAAAACATGAACATGCAGCTACAGTGCATGCTCACTGTGAGCTCCAGCTTCACGCTTCAAGCTTTTATTGTTCCAGATTTCCAACTCTTTGCCTCAGTCCCTGCTTTTAAAGAGCTCATCCAGCTGTAATTTGCCAGCAAGGCCTCATCCTATCAAGCCTTTAGTAAAAACATCATGTCTTAGAAATATAAGAAGGGCAACTGGAGGGCACATCCTCTGCCAAGACCTGAAAGAAAGTGAAAGAAAGATTTCACCATTTAAAGGACTCTTGCTTGGCACACGCTCAGCCTCTGTGCTCGCCTTCATGAAATTAGCTTTTATGGTTTTTGCATAATCTTGATAAGAACAGACAGAAAACAAATGGCCTCCACCTCAGTGCCTGTCCCGGCAATCTCATCGTACATTTTTCTTTATCATAGCGAGCTCCACGGCTCTGCAGAGCAGTCTGCTGCTTACTTCCACTGCTTTTACAGAAACATTTTAAATGCAGATTCTTGTTTAATCAGGGCAGCAAGAAAAAGGAAACACAGACAAACAACAGCTGGAAAAAACAAAACAATAAATACCAACAGGAAATAAGACACTGCTTGAAATTCAGGGCTCATTATTATAAACCTGAACACGTATTTGTTTCTTAGCTATGACTATGTCACTGCAAAAGCAGAAACTTTCCTCAACAGCGATGTGAGAGACTCACAGTTATTGCAAAGGCTTGATTGCAGTTCTTATCAGGTTTTCACACAGGGTTCCTAAGTTTGGACACACCTTCTCATTTCATGGTTTTTCTTTATTTTTACGACTTTCTACAGTGCAGATACAAACTGAAGACTTAAACTCTATGAAGCAACATATATGGAATTATCCAACAAAGACTCTAAACATGTCTTATATTTTAGAAAGCAGCCGTCCTTTGCTTTGTTGTCAGTGGGTTAGGGTTTGTTGGGGTTTTATTCAAAACTGAATGCACACTGAACCAGCATGGCTACCACAGCATCCTGCAGCCACACACCATCCCATCATTTATTGTCCAACAGCACAATCACCCCACACTCACCTCCAGGCTGTGTGAAGGCTGTTTGACCAAGAAGGAGAGTGATGGAGGCCTGGCCTCCACAGTCACCTAAACCCAGTGGAGATGGTTTGGGATGAGATGGAGCGCAGACTGAAGGCTCAGCATCTTTGGAAACTCCTTCAACACTGTTGGAAAACTATTTCAGGAGACGACCTCATGAAGCTCATGGAGAAAACGCCACGAGTGTGCAAAGCAGTGATCAAAGCAAAAGCCGGCTACTTTAAAGAATCTAACATGTTATTTCACACTTTTGTCTTCTACATAATTCATCTGTTCGTTCCTAGTTTTGATGCCTTCAGTGAGAATCTGCAATGTAAACAGTCATGAAAATAAAGAAAAACCATTGAATGGGAAGTTAATACACTAGCAGTCAGGTAAACACTATTAACTGATGGCCAAGGCAACCAATCACATCATCAGGTTGCACTGTGTGATTGTAACCATGTGATCTAAATCCCATCTTGTTATGAACTAAAAGTGAAAAACTGAGAGTAGCCCAAAAACAACCACCAAGGATTTGGAGTAAAAGTTATTAAAGGTTGTCTGGTATGAAACTACGGCTGGACTGGAAATCTCACAGCAGAATAGTAAATCTTGCTGATTTAAGCTGAGGAGAGGAAACTGTGACAGAGCACTTTTGGGTGGATTTTTCCTTAAGCAATCCAAATACAGAATCCTGCATTTGTGGCAACTTTTTCTTTTTGGCACTGCATGCATTTTGCTCTTCATGAAGCACTTTCTCCATCCTGGGTGACATTAAGATGAATTTTGCATTATATCTCTGCAGATGGGAAATGTTACAGATAATAGCTGCAAGCACAGGGAGCCGTCTCTAATAGAGCCCTGCGATACATACAGCTATTGCTATGTCTAAGCCTAATGCATCGTATATGAGTATCTCAGAATCATTTACTTCTCAAAATGAATGCAAAGGTCTTTATATGAAGTTGTGTAAACTATACCACACTCTGATAATGCAAAAACACTTGCGTGTAATTGGTTGGTTTCCATTTTCTCAGCACAGCAAAGCTTCATTATCCAAGTGTGTAAGTGGGAATCTATCAGCATATTCTGGTTTTACATTGCATGCACACAGGAGTGAGCCGGGCCGGAGGGGGAAATTGTGAGAGGCTGGATAAGTAGGATGTGGTTCAGATGAGGAGCAGGTCTGCGAGGGCTGGGCGGGGGGTGCTGACAGCAGTGATTCGGCTGGCCTTCCTAAGCATGTCAGAGGCTTTGTTGAGGCAGGGATATTTCCTCATCCCTGAGAAAGCAGAGACGGCTGACCCTGCACACTCTCCCTGCCCGCCTGTCCTCTGTGTGTAATGCGATGTGCTATGTTTGAAGTGTGCGAACGTGATGCTTTGTCATGTGCAAGTGAGTGAAGGTGACGGAGCCTGTTTGCGCATAAATGTTTATATTACTATGAAATGTGTGCATGCATGTGTGTATGACAGGCTCGCCTAACGAAGGAGCAGCGGTGGGGGAGCGCGCTCCTGTCCAGACATCAGTCCCTGGAGGAGGAGTTTGAGCGGGCCAAGGCTGCTGTTGAGGTAAGCAGAGCTCTCTTTAGTGTCAGCAAAGAGGCTCATCCGCCGCCGACTTCCACTAAGACTTAACAGGAAGGTTGGATGTTTCGTGCGTGCCCCCTTCCTGGCAAACACCCTGTTTTTCTGTGCGAGTTTCAGGAATGGGCAACAGTTAGAGAGAGGACAGCTTACTGGAATCCAGCCCTACTCATCGAAACAACGTTCCTGATTCCAGCTCGAGCTTATCTTTGTAATTCACCAAGAAATGCAAAGAAAAAAACAAGCTGTGATAAATCGTACTTATTAAACAGTGAATCCCAAGGAACTTAAACACTGTTCTTCTGTGGTTTAGCACGACCCCTGATCAGCTGGGTAAAAGTAATTTTCTCTGTTATCGACATGACAAGACTCATAACAGGAACTGGTGATGTAGCACCAATTTACCATTATTTCATTTACAGCACCCTGTCTTTAGACAGAAGCTGATAATACGCCTCCTGCTTTAAGGGAAAATCTTTTGAGTTTAAAGAATTGCAATAAAGGTTCTGAGGGCATTAAGCCATGAGGACTGTCTTCAATATCACATTTCAACCATCATTGCCCCTGTATTCAATCCAGTTCAATTCAATTTTATTTATATAGCGCCAAATCAAATAAGGGTGCTTTATATTGTACAGTAGATCGTACAATAATGGATTCAGAGAAAAACCCAACAATCATATGACCCCCTATGAGCAGCACTTTGGCGACAGTGGGAAGGAAAAACTCCCTTTTAACAGGAAGAAACCTCCAGCAGAACCAGGCTCAGGGAGGGGCGGGGCCATCTGCTGTGATTGGTTGGGGTGAGAGAAGGAAGACAGGATAAAGACATGCTGTGGAAGAGAGACAGAGGTTAATAACAGATATGATTCAATGCAGAGAGGTCTGTTAACACATAGTGAGTGAGAAAGGTGACTGGAAAGGAAAAACCCAATGCATCATGGGAATCCCCGGCAGCCTACATCTATTGCAGCATAACTAAGGGAGGATTCAGGGTCACCTGGTCCAGACCTAACTATATGCTTTAGCAAAAAGGAAAGTTTGAAGCCTAATCTTGAAAGTAGAGAGTCTGTGTCACAGTACGGCTGTGTGCAGGCAAGGGAAGGACCCAAACGCAAACGAGACAAAGGTAAACTCAAAAAACACAACTTTATTGCTGGTGTACAGGGACAATACAAACTAAACTAAACTAAACTAAACGGGGAAACTAAAGCACAAGGAGCCACAGGGAAAATCACACAGCTATGAGGGAGGACACAACGCTGACACAGAGAACCACGGGGCTTAAATACACTGAGGGATAACGAGGGGGAATGAGCCACAGGAGGAGAGCACAGCTGGGAGTAATCACGCAGGATGAGACAAGGGAAGAAACATTAACATAGGACAGTCTGTGAAAGCAAAACAGGAAACACACTGACTGAACTCAAAACATGTAAACTTAACAGCAACTGAGACAGAACATAGGGACCTGAAACATGGGACAGGAAAGCAAAGTAGACACAACATGAACATAACGCCCACAGGGAAAGAGCACAGAAGCACAGGACCTCTTTCAAAATAAAACAGGAAACAATGAAACACTGACATGACTACATGAACTTGACAACATAAGAAACAGACATGAAACACATGAAGGATAAGAGAGACAACACAAGGGTTGAAAACACAACGGGAATATAATCAGCAAATAAACATAGAAAATCTAATGAGCTTAAACTAGAAACATCAAAATGAACTAAAACTCAAACCGCTGGGTCATAAGACCAGGATCGTGACAGTCTGTCTCCTGAATCCAAACTGGAAGCTGGTTCCACAGAAGAGGGGCCTGAAAACTGAAGGCTCTGCCTCCCATTCTACTTTTAAATACTCTAGGAACAACAAGTAGGCCTGCAGAGCGAGAGCGAAGTGCTCTAATAGGGTGATATGGTACTACAAGGTCATTAAGATAAGATGGGGCCTGATTATTTAAGACCTTGTATGTGAGGAGCAGAATTTTGAATTCTGGATTTAACAGGAAGCCAAAACAGGAGAAATCTGCTCTCTCGTTCTAGTCCCTGTCAGGACTCTTGCTGCAGCATTTTGGATCAGCTGAAGGCTTTTCAGGGAGTTTTTAGGACTTCCTGATAATAATGAATTACAGTCGTCCAGCCCTAATGCCATCCAGAGTAAGAATCTGGTTAGATACCATATTTCTAAGCTTTTCAGGGCCGAGTACAATAACCTCAGTTTGATCTGAGTTAAGAAGCAGAAAGTTAGCGGCCATCCAGGTCTTTATGTCTTTAAGACATTCCTGCAGTTTAACTAATTGGTGTGTGTTATCTGGCTTCATGGACAGATAGAGCTGGGTGTCATCTGCATAGCAGTGTAAATGTATGCTATGTCTTCTAATGATGCTGCCTAGGGGAAGCATGTATAATGTAAACAGAATTGGTCCTAGCACTGAACCCTGTGGAACTCCATAATTAACCTCAGTGTGTGAAGAGGACTCTCCATTTACATGCACAAACTGGAGTCTATTAGATAGATATGATACAAACCACTGCAGCACAGTACCTGTAATACCTACAGCATGTTCTAATCGCTCTAATAGGATATTATGGTCAACAGTATCGAATGCTGCACTGAGGTCTAGCAGGACAAGCACAGAGATGAGTCCACTGTCAGAGGCCATAAGAAGATCATTTGTAACCTTCACCAAAGCTGTTTCTGTGCTGTGATGAGCTCTTAGGTTGGGGTCTAAAAGACACGTTGATGGTTTGGAGGAAGTAATTAGACATCTTTTTTAAAATAAAACACGACACATTAAACTATGTCGGTATTTATTTAACAAAAGTGAAAGAAGCAGCGTGTAAAGCACAGCCTTCCAGTTCTGAGGTTGTATTTTTCAAATCAGCTAGGAAGAGATTCATTTTCTTGTCCTGTCGGGTCACTGTGAAACATGAAACACTTCTTACTCGCTTCTGTTTCTTCCTAAAGTATCACTTTTCAAATTCTTTGCCCACTAAGTTACTATTTGACCCAACGATTACACGAACAACACAAAAGATTTCCCTGTAAATGTTTGTTCTTTCACTTTATTTTTGAAACGTTACATCATAGTCACTGGGTACAAATACACCAAAAACACTGACTTTCTAAACTGGACATGAGATAACAGACACAACCATGAAGGTTGTGTTTTTGTAGTAAAGTCATTTAACCACTCAGCAGACGTCTGAAAATGGGAGTAAGCCCTGCTGAAGGTTACAATAGACTGCTGCACACCGAGCTGTGTGCAATGATCAATAAATAACAGAAGTGAGAGCAGCAGTAAGGGAGTAGAGCGACCCGTTCGGGGATCCATCCCAAACTTGACGATGATGTTTCACATTAGCTAAAAGCTGCATCCACCCAAACACCTGTGCAGGTTCTGGTCCAGATAAATGATGAGCTTTAGAGATTCTCCGAGCTTCTGAGAACGGCGTATCGATTCGTAACAGTACCTCACAGCCTCGATCGAGGAGCCTGAGTGCTCGCCTTCATTTGATGCGAGCCGTCAGCCATTTTGGCCTCACTTGCCAATGTCAAAGACCTTAATCGCATAATTTCAATTTAAGCAGCTGTGCATATGCATGCTCGTTCATACTTACAAAGACACAGCACAGAGAGAACATTAAATCAGCACAGCGTCTTTCTTCCAATTCATTCAATTAGACCAAGCAGCCAAATGTAAGAAAATTAGGACCCGGGGAGGATTCGTGGAATAATCGTCTAAATAAGATTCATTTTACGAAGCTGGCACTTATGGGAACCTGTAAGCTTATGCCTGCAGTGCCTTTGCACATAAAATCTGTGGGAAAGGGAGGATAAAGTGGCTACTAACTATACAGGGGAGATGTAAAGTATGCACAGTGCATGTCACACGAGGACGCCGTAAATTACTCTGAGCTGATGACAACGTAATGCCTTCATTAAACAGAGAAGCCCTGAAATTGCTGCAGGCTAAATTGTGACTTTGGGAAACAGCGTTTTGGCTGAGGGGCATCAGAAAGGTCCCACAGTGGTGATAACAGCGAGACGAAGGTGACTGCGCACCCTCCCGTTTGATTAAAGCGGCAGCTTCAATTTTATCTGACAGAATATTAGTCTGAGCCAGTCGTGGGTTAAGTTGACTTTGTTGCGGCAATGTAGTTGCCGACAAGTTAGAGATGCAGCCCTGCGATCAAAAGGTCAGCAGTTTTAATCCACAGTCCTCCTGGGGAAAATTAGGGAAAGTAAATGAGTAATGCCTCCACTGCTCCCAACAATCTCCATCTCTGCGCCCTCCTGCAGACCACAACATGTTGGAGCTGTAAAATGTCCAGCGTGCGAATGAAGACGCACAAAGCATCTCCTAAAAAGTATAAATGTACCTGCATTGAAGAAAATGATATTTATATATTTGATGAGCAGCATGAATGGAAACTTTCAAAATGTGAAGTGCAAAAAGTGAGCCTTTTCCAAAAACTAAGTGTTTAAACAGCACGTTGGGTCACTGCAAAATGAGCCGGTGAAAATCCCTTCAAGATTTTCAGGAGCTCAGGTTCTGTGTTTACATGTTACATGCTAAAAACATGTGTAACATCCTGTTTTCAGCATGGCCCTGTTTGTAGGCTTCCTATATGTAGGCCAGTATCTGTATTCAGGGCTACATCGCCACATTAGACTCTCAGCAGCTATTTTTTAAAATTGAAAGCAGAAAAAAAG